TACAGTATTTTAAAAACATAGGGACACGAGCTGTTAAGAATTGCATCTAAATAACATTTTCAGACTTTATTTGGGAGTATTTGCTGTACTGTACTGTAGATCAAGCTAAATCTAAAGCATCTTTCACCAGACCCAAATGCCCCTTTTTGTAAGAAAAGTTCTGGGTTAAAAGGATGTTTCATAGCCTCCAAGTAGAGATACCCAGGTGATGTTTTAAAGGCTGTGACACAAAACGTTTGTGTTGTGTCCCTTTAAGGTAAATTCACCCTGGTAATGGACGACTAAACTATTTATACGTACAAGAACTTCATGTTCCTGCTGTGTATGTTCGGAGGTATTTTGGGAAACTATAAGAGGAATACACAAAGTAGGTTGAGGGAAACTAGGTCGAACTAAAGGGGAAATAAAACACACCTGGAAGTACCTCCTTGTAGATGTATGAGAGACAATAACACTTGTATCCTTACATCCGGAGAGCATTGAAAAGAGAAAATCCAGGGTTTTTTTCCACAGCATTAACTGTAGAAATGAAGCGAGGCGGTGCTGATTTGCAGCGGGCACTTCGTGTGAAGAGTGTCGATTTCTGAAATGAAGTCTGTCCCTCGTCTCCTGCCCTGGCAGTGATCTGATGCGACTGGACGGAGTTCAGAGGGAGGCTGATATCTGAGCGGAGCTGATGTTTGTGAATCACCGGGTCAGTGGGTCACATCGCTGGACATCCACTCAGCCAACAACTCCCTCTGTTTCCCTCAGAGCGGCCGAGGAACCGCTCACTATCACTGGTGTAGAGTAACCAGATGAACTCATAATAATAATAATACATTTGATTTATAAGCGCACTTTTCATTTGAGTAAACAAAACTCAAAATGCTACAGAGTAAAATGGTCGATACAAAGCAACAACAAAACATATATATAATGAAGTGAATAACAGAATAAAAACAGTGACGTTTTGGCCGGCATGGCAACAAGTGGGGATTTTAAAGATCTCGTAAAAGGCTATTCTAAAAAGATGCGTTTTAAGGCCTTGTGCTTTAGTAAAACGTTGTACTTTACTTGAGTATTTCAATCTTTTACTTCTGCTCCACTACAATTCAGAGGCAAATGGTGTTCTTTTACTCAACTACTTGTATTCAGTGGTGGAAGAAGTCCTTTACTTAAGTTAAAGTAGAAATACTTTGGTCTGAAAACACTTAATTACAACTGAAAGTCCTGAATTCAAAATGTTACTTAATTAATGTACTTGAAGTATTAAAAGTTCAGTAAGTAAAGTACACACACACCTACACACACACACACACACACACACACACACACACACACACACACACACACACACACACACACACACACACACACACACACACACACACACACACACACACACACACACACACACACACACACACACACACTCAGTGCTGATACAGGAGTGAGCCCCTCTGAGAGTTGCTCACAGACCCTCAGATACAGAGAGCAGGCACCTAGGGACTTGAGCTGTGTTTAAACTCCATTACCAGTACCCTCTCTCTAATTAAACCAATGTTTTAATTAGGATTTGGACAGCCAGGAAGGAGGAGGGATAATAATAACGCTCATTTATCCAACAGAGAGCGGCTATTTCTAAAGCCTCCCCCCCTCAGCAGTGTGCCGGGTGGATGACCTTGTGTGTGATCTGCCACCGACTCCTCCATAGTGCTTCATCACCTGAAACGCAGGTGTGATTTACAGGTGGAAGAAGACTCCGACAGAAAGAGTCTAGACACGAGGAGAGCCTGCAGGTGGTTAGTGGAAACTCAGTTGATGTATTGTGAATTAGAATTAAAGTGGCTAATAGAGACTTATCCCTCTTATTTACACCAATCTGATTATTCGCCATGACGGAGTTAACTCTTGTATGTTAATTTAGGCCTTGTAACTGATTCACTAGCACTCACTATGGTATGATCATGTTTGAAGTGAATATATCTGCACTTTCATTGTTGTTCGGAGTTTGATTCTTTATGGTTTTTGCACTTATTATAAGTCGCTTTGGATAAAAGCGCCAGCTAAATGATATGTAATAATGTAAACAAATTATGAAATGGGAGGAACACCTTTATCACCTTCTCCGAGGAGGTTATGTATTTATTTCGAATCGTTTTTCTGTCAGCAGGGAAACTTGTTTGAAGGTTGTAGCATTGGTGTAAAACACAGTACATTTTTCAGGCGAATCCAAATGATTATGTGGTTTGGTTTTGTCTCCTTTCCTCTTGTCTTGAATCCTTTCCTCTCATCTCCTCTCATACTTTGTCCTCTCTTTTCCAATTAATTTTTTCAGTTTGTTTGTCAACATGACAATGGGGAAAAATACTCTCCAGATTTTTTGTGAACTTGCTTTGAGGGTGTAGCATTGGCTTTTAAATTTTTAGAGCGGATCCCAATCAGTGGGCGGACACACGCACATTATCTGTTTCTTTAGAAATCGTGATTCGGCCTTGGTGGAGGTCGTTTTGTTTCCTCTCCTCTCCTCTTGTCTCATTTCCCCTCCCCTTATCTGGTGTCCTATCTTCTCCCCTTGTATCCTCTCCTCTCGTCTTTTATCCTCTCCTCTCATCTCCTCTTGTATTTTGTCCTCTCTTTTCCTATGTACTTTTTCACTTTGTCACTAAAACGTGTTTTCAAGGGACAAAATACATTTGCGGAGTGGATCCAAATCATCGGGTGCACTTCTACTTTAGAGATAGGGCATTTGGCCTTGCCTGAGGTCTGCCCTCTCAGACGGCTTTTTAGTTTATTTATTGATGAGGACTGCGGTAAAAGTGTGTTACAAGCAAACACTCTATATGGTTACAAGTCAACAATTTAGATATGAAATACAGGAAATCACAACCGAATTGGGTTCAAGGCTTTCATTTTGTAAATAAGTAGCTTCAAATTAATCATTTGTTTTTTCTTTGGCAGACATTTTTTTGCAGAAAACCCTGACTACACAAGCTTACACAACATTACAGATACTTCAAAGCTGAAAACCTTGTACTAATAATAGCTGTCTAATAGTGTTGACTGCAGACAGAAATGGCATCGCACTTTGTTAGAAAGTACCGGATCATTGTGGCTTAATGAGTTCCTGAGCTCCTTATGAAATAATTGTTTATGATGGAAACATTTGTAGAAGACATTTGGCATAACCTGCTGGATTTCATGGAAAAACCTTTCAGGTCGCTGAAACGATATTAGACTATTGTTTCCGTGTTTTAACTGTATTTTAATATTTTTGTTATTTATGTAATTTTATGGGGGCCAAATCCGGCCCGCGACCTCATTTGATGTGGCCCCGCAAGAGCTTGCAAAGAATATAATACGTTTATTATATGGTTACATGCAACTTTACAGAAGCAGGTTGCCCATAAACTACATGTCCCACAATGCATCTCGTTTTGTGACATGCACTGAAGAGACTTGCAATTATGTGCCCTGGACTTCTGCTTTCAGACATAGTTAATTACTAAGTTATTATCCTATCCGATAATAATCCAATTCAGAGGCAATAATGTAATATAATACATTATTTTATATATATATTATATATTTATACAGTTACAACCGGCCCTTTGAGTGCAACCTTTATGCGAATGTGGCCCGCGATGAAATTGAGTTTGACCCCCCTGGACTAGAGCTTGTATCAGCTGCGACCAGCCGCTCTATATACATAATTGTTAAGGGAAGGGATAATACTTGTGTGTAATTGTTAATCTTGAAATGAAGGGTGTTTAAAATGTGTTTTTCAACATAAAGGCGGGAAAAAATTATGAATTAACGGACTTTGTGTGAAAGGGAAAGTGATTCAACGGAGAGGAATAAATGCAACAGAAGAAAAAACATCTCCTTCATTGAACTTTTGGCAAAGTTTTGTATGAATGATTTGTTAAAGAACACTGTGTGGATGCACGTTGTCTTATAAAAAGGTCTATATCTTTGTCTGTCTTTAAAAAACGCTTAACCCTTGTGTTGTGTTCGAAAGCTGTTACCGTTCATGGTGTTCGCGGGTACATTTTGACCCATGATTTATCTCAGTCCAAAACACAACTAAAAAATGACTATCATCCAATATTGTTTTAACTACATCATAACTAACTTATAATGCATTTATAACCGTACAACCCTGTTGTAATTTAATGTTATGGCGCTAAAACACATTACACCACATATTGAACACGTGTATGTGTGAGTTCAGGTTCAAGTGTTTGTGTACATATTCTTTGAGAAAGATGGAGTTCCCATGGGGGAGGGGGCCAGAGGGAGGGGAGACCAGGTGCATGTTGCGAACAATTATTGTTACAGTTGATGAAGGGGGTGGGGGAGGGGCGTCTAAAGTCAAAGATGAATCTTGATTGGGCCAAATTTGACCTCGAGTCACCCACAACAATTCTGCTGGGTCTCCCCAGACCCCAACACCAAATGATACACTTTTTTTTTTAGAGACCTTCAGACTTGGCAAAAATGGTCACCATCAGTTGTGTAGTGTTTATATAGCTGCTGTGGAGGATATCATGAAGCCTTGTTCCGATACAAAAAACTAGAGCGTAGTTATTATATCATTTGAACTTGAAATGGGTCACGGGAGACCCCAACACAACATAAGGGTTAAAGCAACTCTTGTTAGGCAAACATGTCAGAGATTGAATACGCTGAATGGCTGTGGAGTTGGAAACACGTTCACTCTTTCTGAAATGCAGTGTTGGATATGTTTTTGTGTTGTGATGGTTCAGTATAATACGTGAATTCTCTCAATTCGATATGTATGAATGATATATAATATCTGGGGCCCTGTTCTCAAGCTTCCTATAGGTTACTGTGCTGTCCCACTTCACATGTCTCCATTATGTCTCATGTTTGTACCTGTTTCTTAATCTAACTTAAATACAGAAATGATTACATTACATGATTTGATTGAGTAACATTAATTTCTCTCCTCTCTTCTCTTTCTCTCCTCCCTCTTCTCTTCCCCCTCCTCTCAGCGGGAGATGGCGTGCCGGTCCAGAAGGACGGGGAGCAGGTGAGTGTCATACTGCCTCTCTGAGGAGCCAACATGGCCGCTGATTTGAACCAGTTTCCCAGCAGCTCCATGCTGAGCAGCAGCTCTCTGTAACTCGAGCTGCCAGTGCTTGTGCTGGTAGATTAATTAAGTGAAGTGGTCACACATCATGTCAATGTCAGTCGCTTAACTTCCCCTACACCTCCCTAAATGAGAGGGGGGGTGTAGGGGAACAGTCTCTGGTTCTGTCGGCTCGTTGCTTGATGTCTGTTGGATAGTCGCTTACTTTAAAAGCAAAAAAAAGCAAAAGGCATCACTCTCCTTCTACAACTTTTTACACATCATCCCTATATCTTTTGTATTCTCCTCTCCACTCGACTTCTCCTCTTCTCTCCTCTCTTATCATATCCTCTTGCCTTGTATCCTCTCCTCTTGTCTAGTCTTGTATCGGTCCCTTGGTCTTGTTTTGTGTCCTCCCCTTTCCTCTCCTTTTGTCTTGATTTCTATCCTTTCCTCTCCCCTCATTCCTTGTCTTCTCTCCTCTCGTGTCCTCTTCTCTCTTCTTGTCTTGTGTCCTTTCCTCCCCTCTCATCTTGTATCATCCGTTCTACTCTCATCCTCTCCTTTCCTCTCCTCTCTTATCAAAATCTCCTCTTGTCTTTTGTACTCTCTTCTCTACTTGCCTCCTTTATAACTTGTATCCTCTCCTCTCAACGCATCTCCCCTCCTGTCCTTTCCTTTTGTCTTGTGTCCTCTCTTTACATCTCCCCTTGTCTTGTGTCCTCTACTCCTCTACTCTCATCGTCTCCTTTCCTCTCCTTCCTTTCCTCTCCTCTCCTCTTGTGTCCTCTTCTCTTCTCATGTCCTGAATCTTCTCCTCTCCTCTCCTCTCCTCTCCTCTCCTCTCCTCTCCTCTCCTCTCCTCTCCTCTTGGCTGCTTCACTGATCCCATGCTGTATATCTGACCCCCTGGGAGAGGACACAGGAGAGGAAACCATTTTGGACTAAATGTAGAGAACTCCACTTTCCCCCAAATGCACTGTGGACTTATTCCATGATTTATTTATGCATTGTGCCCCAGATTGCCCTTCGGTCCTACACACACACACACGCACGCACACACACACACACACACACACACACACACACACACACACACACACACACACACACACACACACCCACACACACACACACACACACACACACACACACACACACACACACACACACACACACACACACACACACACACACACACACGCACACACAATCACCGAAGCGCTCACACACACATCAGCGTTGTCAGGGCTATTGGAGGCAACTTAGGAAAAGCGGCTTCAAGGGGCCGAGCACTACCACTCAAGTGTGTTAAATCTCTCATCAGACCCACTCCTCTGGAGGGGGAGGAAGAAAGAGAGCGGGGGAGTCAAAGAGCAATGAAGTGGGAGCAAAAATAGAATAATAAAAAAGGAAGGAGAGTAGAAAAGGAACGGGAAGAGGCTGATAGATGCGATGCCTGATGGAGATAGATAGAGAACACCCATGTAGACGCTTCCTCATGATATGTCACTCAGAAATAAATAACCTGTTTGTTACATTTTTTAAGCGATAAATAACAAATTGCATTCAAGTATTATACAATATTATCCTTTTGATGCATGGGTCCTTTTGTAGGGAGGCGTAAACCAATGTTGAAGTTCAGAGGAATTGTTCAAATGTTTGGGATTTTGCTAATTCGCTGTCTTGCAGAGAATTAGCTCAGAAGATTGAAAGCAGTCTCACGTCTAAACAGTAAACATGAAGCTACGGTTAGCATCTTATTAGCTTAGCTTAAAGGCTGGAAACAAGGGTAGATAGCCTGGCTCTGGCCAAAGCTACTGTCGTTCATCTGGTTCCCAGCACCTGTTAAGATCTAATAACCATGCGACAATATATCTTGTTTGTTTATTTAAAGTTGTCGTTTTATGGGGTAGATGCAAGAAAATTATAAATATATATAAACTAGGGCTGTCAAATGTATTCTGGAAACCTTAACGTTTAAAAAAAAAAAAAGTTTTTAATTAAACATATGACCAAGTTTGACCCTTAGTTGTTCCCATAATTCCAGCGCGGATGTTTATCAAGAATAGCATGACCGTGAAAAAGCACAGAAAGCGGAGAAATCGGCACAACCTAATCAAGACTAATCACAGATCATAATTGTGATTAACATGATTTTAAAAAAGCACTAATATAAGCGTTTATGTGCAAGTGACAGTCTGAAATAGGCACGGTAGTTGGTACAAAATGTAATGATGATAGGAAAAACACAATTGGGCGGGCCCAGTTTGACATTTCTTTCCAGTTTTTTATATATATTTATGAATTTATTTCCTGTGCATATCTACAGGAAGGTGAAAACATCTCCCCTCTAACCCAGCAGTGTCCCCGATCCATTTAGTGTCTGATAGAGAGGAATGCTGCTATCTGCTTTTTCCCTATAGCATCTGCCTACACACACACACACACACACACACACACACACACACACACACACACCCACACACACACACACACACACACACACACACACACACACACACACACACACACACACAACACACACACACACACACACACACACACACACACACATGTATACATCACTTCAGGGGACATTACATTGACTTCCTGGAGACACTTATCCTAACCTTAACCACACACACACTTCCTCCTCATAGCCCCAGTCCCCTGTCTTTACGCAGCATCAGATAAAAACACATCTCTCTCACTCGCGCTCAATTTTCCGCTGGCTTTTCAGTGTTTCTGGCAGCACGTGTAAGCCGAGAGGACGCTCATTCCTCCGCAGCGTTTTCACTCTGCTAAACATAACGAAGCAAATAAACTGATCCCTGTTTAATCCCCCCCCCTTCTCCCTCTCATTCCGGTCCTTGACTCTTGCCTCCCTCCTCCCTGGAAAATCCTGTGTCTCTGTCTCCCTGTCTCTTAATTTCTCTGCATGTCCGATGTTCAACCCCCTCCTTTTTTTCCTTCGTCTTCTCCCCATCCCCCCCCCCATGCATGTATCTGTCTTTCCTTCTCCTTCTTTCCCCATCCCTCCCTTCCTCCTATATTTCTCTTCCTCAGCATGGACCTTCAGAATTGTCATGGGAAGGAATCAATGTAAGTGTTGTGACCTCATTCCCTCATGTACTACTCTTCCTCCTATATTTATATGTTTCTCTCACCTGTTTTGATTTAACTCACCCTGACCTCTTTCACCCTCCCCCCTCTCTTCCACCTCGGCCTTTACAGTCGATCTCTTCCAGGGTTTAGTCGTGGCACAATCAGAATTGGTGCAGGGTAAAATAAAAAAAAAGTTGGATTTGGAGATTTTGTATTAACCCAACATCTCCATCACTTCTCTCCACTCACCCTTCCTGTAACACACACCGTCTCGACGTCTTTGTGTGCCCCGTCACACTTCCCATACTATCCTTTTCTCCACGCTTTTTTCCCCCCTCCTCCATTCCTCTGTCTTCTCCCCCTCCAGCTGTCCATGGAAGACACCACGTCGATCCTGCCTCGGCTCAAGAGGAACTCTAATGCGTACGGCATCGGGGCTCTGGCTAATGCTTCTCTGTCAGGTGTGTCAGGTGTGTGTCTGTGCTGTAAACGGGTAAACGACCCCATGTTGGCTCGGCTGGAGCCAGCATGGTACCCGAAAATGGGTTCCCCTGAATCACTTCCTCTTCACACCGTAATAACACTCGTCAATGACTACCTCCTGAGTCATTGATGGAATTAAATCAGCCTTAAAAACACACACAGTGCATCCTCATACAGCTTGTTGCTCTAAGACAAGGTGAGTGGGAAGTGTAGCTCTTTTTGTTAAGTGGCTGTGAAACAAACTGTGTAGTGTTAGTACACTGAAGGAACTGAAACGTTGACTTATATCACTGTATTAGGTTAGTTAAAAGCAATCATTTTAAGTTGAACCTATTTAACATTATTGTTCTCAACTACCCTAATACAGTTATTGGAAATGTGTTGACATACTACACTTAATTAAAGTCAACGGTTCCGTTTTTTCAGTGTATGTTTGTTTTGTTACTGAAGAAAACAAAGGAGTCCAATGGAGGCGTTTCAGGCAGGGGGGGGGGGGGGGGGGGGGAGTGTGTGGGAGAGAAAATCACAGGGATTAGCCTTTACAGACCATTGAAATGCACTATGACACTACAGGAAAGGGAAAACACCAAAAGGCATAGAAGGGCCTCTTTAAGTTAATTATAATAATTATTTCAGTCGTGTGTTTATTGAGTTCTGTTGATGTTAAGTGTTATCAATCACATAGTTAAGTGTGTCTCTGTCTATGAACTGGGACGGGGGTTAGTTTTGTTTTTTAGCTGGGGAAGCACTTTGTGTTCCCTTATGCTAAGTGCTATATATATACAACAAGTTTAATTGATTAAAACAACACACCTCACACACACAGTGCGTCCTCATACAGCTTGTTGCTCTAAGACAAGGTGAGTGGGAAGTGTAGCTCTTCATGTTCAGTGGTTCTGAAACTGTGTAGTGTTAGGCTGGAGCCACACGAGGACGAAAACGCAAACGGACCGAAATCGATATCAAAAAAGTCTTCCGTCCACACGCAACAGACACCAGAAACGTTTCCGTTCACACGAGACCGTTCGAAAGCGCTGGAGACGCTGTAGTACATATGCCAGGCCTGTAAGTGGCGCTGTACTCCTGCCACAAAAGCAGCGAAGAAGACTTCCTGCGCATGGTTGCCATGGTTGCCCTTCTGTTTATGCTCCGCTGTGGACGTTCTGGCTCTTTTTCTCCCTCCCCGAGGCAAGCGTTTGCTCCTGCAGTAAATCTCTCCGGTTAGTCCACCAGCAGATGACAAACACCCACCTCTCCGCCTCTTCCAAGGAACAAGGGGACCGTGCGGAAGAGTTTCAGTTAGAATTTTTTCCGCCGGTCAACATGTCCGTTAAAGTTTAAATCTTCCGGACAAAATTAGAAAAGTGCCGGTCAAAGGTCTTCTTTGTTATTTATTGAGCTTTAAAACAAATTGATAACGACTCTATATAATAATATAAGAATACAAAATGGAGCCTCTCTTTTCCTCCCCCTCTTCTGACAGCCCAGCAGCTGATCTCTGAGCAGGAGAGGTGGGGAGAGGCGGGGCTATTGCGTCATCGTTATCAGGACATGATCGTATAGGCGTAAACACGGAGCCGTTTGCCCCCCCAGAGCGTTTCGTTTGCTGATCTACCCACCTTGGGAACCGTTATCGTTATCGTTTTCTGCGTTTCCGTGTCGGCCTCGTGTGGCCGAACCGTCTATCTGAACTGTAGCAGATATGACCGTTATCGTCCTCGTGCGGCCGGGGCTTTAGTGTGGATGGTTTGTGTTAAACAGAGGTCAGTGCAGTGCAGCTGGTGTGGTGTGGTCCAGATTTGTCCTTACATTTATTCATAAATCTCATCGTCAGAGAGCCCAGGGATTTACAGTCATGTGTTGGTCACATGAAATATGGAGTGCAGCCATTATGCAGCCATCAGGGTTAGGGTTAGGGTGAGTCCTCACACAGACAGCAGAGTGTTTCTGTTTACTCAGCGCAGATTAGCAGAGGTGTGAAAGATGTTATGTCAACAAGCCGACCTCTCATTACTCATGCCATACAACCACCTCACCCTTATTAACCTATTACATCCCATGATGCACCTCTTTCAGACAGGACACATCCATTCTCCTGCCTTTACTCCATCAGACAATGGTGTCGTCTCATTACACACATGCTATCATCCCCTCAACACATCTGCATTTAGCTATTCTCCTCATCCATGTTCACGAAGACGCTCATTAAAATACAGGCATCTGAGAAGCTAGGTCGGACTAAACTATATTTTTCTTTAATTGAAATGCCAATATAGGTTATTTTAAATTTTTGTTTTCATTATTATCTGGTAATTCAATATAAATATATATGAAATAACCAAATAGTAAGGCCTATTTGATGTTCTCCTGTGAGAAGGAAATACTCAACAAATGAAAGGATGGATTTAATTGCAGGTTTTAGGTAAAGTTATTGAGAACAAATTAATAAATATTGCCGGATCAATACATCCATGCACAAACACAGTAAGCAGGTAAGGAAAATAGTTTGAATTACCTGAGTTTCATTCGATTTTTATAACAACATTTGAGTTATTGTGTTCTTTTTATGATCAAATCAGGAAACGTAATTATGTAATGCGATCAGAATATCGTGTAACACAAAATCTTTCCTTTACTATTTCCCAATATTCAATTATTTACATTCTTATCTTCAAAAACAAGTAAATGAAATGCGACCAAACTCTATTTATACACATTTACACATACATATTTACTTGAATCACTACACACAATCAGCTTCTAAGGTAATTAACAATCTTACAGTGATAATATAATTAAACAAAACTGCATTATGTTTGAGGACAACACTGTTTATCCTCCACACAGTTTAGTCTGATCCTGCTGGGCATCCATAGTTTCATCATTCTTCACAACATCCCCGAACAAACACAATAAAATGCTTGATAATAACATATCTATCTTATGTCTGTTTCTCCCCTTTCTTCCTCCACTCTTCTTCTATCCCTCCTTTCCTCCCCCACCAGGTGTGAGCCGCACGATGAAGGAGCGAGTGACGAAGCCCACCGGCATGGCGCAGGGTCGCGTTGCTCACATGATCGAGTGGCAGAACTGGGGCATGTCGACGGTGGGACCAGGAGGCGTGCCGCTGCCCCGGATCACCACCGAGGAGCGGGAGAAGGAGCGGCGGCTGGAGAGCGACGCCTACAGCGACCTGAGTGAAGGAGAGAAGGAGGCGCGCTTCACTGCAGGTCAGAAACTCACAAAGAGCCCGTTCACCCACATTTTAAAGGGACCTTATTCTGCTCATGTTCAGGTTCATATCAGTATGTAGTGTCTCTACTCTGACATGTCTCCATGCTTTAATGTTCAAAAAGTCTTTATTTGTCTCATACTGCCTGTCCTGCAGCACCTCTTTTCACCCTCTGTCTGAAACCAGAGCCCAGTCTGCTGCTCTGTTGTGATTGGTCAACCGCTGAGAGATGTCACGCCCCTTATCACGTACAATATGCTAGCCAATAGAAGCACAAGTTTTGATAGTGATGTCACTATGTTACAGAAGTAAACAAATGAGTCCAATGGAGGCGTTTCAGGCAGGGGGGAGGGGGGAGTATTTGGGGGAGAAACTCCTTCTGGAGGAAACACAGGGATTTTAGCTTTTGCAGACCATTTACATGCACTGAAATCTATATAACACACTACAGCAGAGGGAAAATCCCCCCAAAAAGCACAATGGGGCCTCTTTAACATACTACTATACGTTTTTCAAAGCTCTTAATGGTCCAAGTCCTAGCTATTTATCCAATTTGCTTTTGACCTATGAACCCTCTAGAACCCTCCAACAGGTAATTAAAGTTTGAAAGTCTCAAAATGCTACAACTACTGTCACAAACTGGATGAATGTGAAGTATTTTGTTAAAGGAGGATGAAAGCGTAATTAAGGAGCACTATTGGAGTGACTTTGATGGTTATTGGACTCAGGATTAATTATTTTGGATTCCCGCTGAATGAAGAAATTAAAGGACGGCGCTAGTGGAAACAATTCACAAAGGGATTAAACTGTTTAAAACACATGCTCAAAGTAAGCCGGATTTTGCCGATGTGTTTATGTGGATTCAAAAGTCGTAAATAATCTACAAAATGGAGGAGACCGATCTGATCGGAGCAACTGTGACAAATAATCTGAAACCGGCATGGACAATGACTATGTTTTAAAAATGCGCTGCAAGACAAGCCTGGTTTGGACACTTTACGGGCAGAAGAAACATTTCTATTAAAGAAAGAATTATACATTTCTGTCTTTTTATGCCTTTAATAGCTACTAACTTGAATTTTTATTAAAATTAATTAATCAATTATTTTTTATATTTTATTGTAATGTAGAGACAAGGCTTTTAGCGACAATCATGTATTGCGTTATAATTATATGTAACGCAAAACCCCCAGGTTGGGAACCACTGCTCTAGAACCCTCATTGATCAGCATATTGTTTTCACCTCACTTTGTAAGATGTATTTATGCCACTTATTCAGTGATTTAACTATTATAATGCTGGTTTGTCCTCTGCTGCCCTCAGGGATCCTGCAGCAGTTTGCAGTCACCGAGGCGACGCTCATAGCCTGGGGCTCGATGGACGGAGGGAGCACGCGGTCGGGATCAATGATGGGCAGCGTGGCCCGTCTGAGCGAGGTCAACCAGGAGAGCATCACCAGTCGAGGTAAAGGACTACAAAGAACTACAAATATGGCCGTGGATGCATCTTAAAGTGGCCTGTCTTTCAGAACAATCTTTACATTAAGGCAAATATTAACATTATCACAGGTTCATAAAGACAAGACAGACTCCAACAAATGGATGTTCATGCCCGAGCTGACTGGCACCTCAGCAACTTAACGTGATTCACTACAATGTCTTGTTTACTTTATGTTTATCTTTGTATTCATTTTATTATATTTACCATGTTTTTAAAGTAGCATAACGTGGATATACTTCAGGAAAGTAGCTCAAAACTTGACTTGAGTGTGTAATTAAATGTACATACTTACTCTCCTCCAGCCCTGGCTTTGAATGAATAAGGCAGCTTGCATGTGTTGTGTTGCTCAGTAATGAGAACACACTGTTCATCTCCTCTCCGCGCTGGAGGGAAGCTCATTATTAATTCCACATTTTCCAACATGGTCGGTTGAAGGTAAACCTGGATAACTAATGATTTTGGACATTTTGATTTCAGAGCAGTGACACAAAGTTGTTCTCATGAAGTGAGACAAAGTTCTCAGATGATTATAATGACTGCTTTGCTATAATACGATTTACACTGCAGGACTTTTACAGTAACGAGGGTCTGAATACGCACTGCCAGAACTCTCCCTCACCGTGTTCCTGACACCTCCAGCAGCACCTTTAATAGCCACTCCTGCTCTTTATTTCCTTCCAGATCAGATCTTGCACCACTCCTCAGCGGATGTGTGGCCCCACACTTACGTCTCCCAGGGCCACTACTGCCTCTCCTCCTCCGACGCCTGGGAGCCCATCAACAACGACTCCTCCGGCGTGATGTCCTCCCCGGCCGGCTCCTACGTCCTCGGGCCTGAGGGCTACGAGGGCCAGGCGGCGGGGTGCTTCCTGTCGCAGCAGCAGCAGCAGCAGCTGACGCTCCAGCAGCAGAACCAGCTGCAGCAGCTGCAGCAGATCCAGCAGATCCAGAGCTACCAGCAGCAGCAACTGCTGCAGTACCAGCAGCAGCAGGTGAGTCACCTTCTGTGGGCGTAGCCCTGATAGATGGAAGGAGATGGAGTGAGAAATGCAGTGTGATAGTATGTTTACTGATGCTCAAAGTCACTCTAATAATGCATGAACCTGAGCAGTCTAAAGAAACTAGGAAGTCATGTAAACCAGCAGCTCTATAGCTCACTCAAAGATCAAGTGTTTGTTAGGTTGTGTGTGAATCCATGAACAGGAGTGCATATATGTGATTGCAGCTATTTCAGATTTACAATACTTCCATAACCACCTAGATAATCTAAAAATATCACTTAGCTAAAGAAAAATGTTGGTTTTCATGTTTGGAGGGAAATAAAAATGAGCTTGATTTTAAGTAAATGTATATATAAAAATGTCATTTCCAAAATTAGAAATGAACTCAGATGTAACTGAGATTTCTAAAAGGAGAATAACATTTTGTCACCAAAAATAGCTCATGCTTAATGCCAAAATGTAAAATGTGTCTACAAGCAAACTCTTTGTTTTTGTTGTTTGTTGATTTTAGTTGTGTAAGCATATATGCAATGGACTCTTAAAGGTGAGGTAGGTAATTTTGGAGAAACCAGCTCGAGATCGCTAGAATTTGAAAATACACAGCCGGAGAAAATCTGCCACTTCCTTACAGAGCCCCTCCTCCAACACACACGAACGCGCACATGACCAATGAGGACACGAGATAAGTTTGTGCACAGATGGAAGGCTGACAGGCAGGTAGGCCATCCAGTTATTTTAGCCGGCCCGGCTCAGATGATTGGTCGTGCTTTTTACAGTACTACGGCTTCCACAGATGACATTTTTTAATGGATTTTTTGTCAAAGCACTTAAGATATTCATTGCTATCGGGATGTTAAGAGCATTCCATGGAATATAACAACAAGTGTATCTCGAGCCGGTTTCTCAAACTTACCTACCCCACCTTTAAGTAAACAAATGTTTGGAAGAAGGTAAAAGATTTATAAAGTTAAGAAAAATACAGTACAGAGAATCTATTATCCTTTATTGAACCAGGTAAAAGTCTCATTGAGATTCAAATCTATTTTTCAAGAGCGACCTGAATAGAATAAAGTGAAGTATTACTAACTCTGCTTTTCAGAAACTGATTTATAGAGAAAAATAAAGGAAAATATAAACTCAGCACAACAATCCAAAACAATACATTTGACTTTAAACTGCAAGTCGGCGCCAAGATAAAATGATGCTCTGTCAAAAGGATCACTACTTTTAAGAAATTGATATCAAGAGTAAACTTTTCTGAACATTAGTTGTTGCTTTAAACTGCAAATATCAGACAAAATAAAAAATGACGCTCTTCTCTGCACAAAGAAAGCAGAATTGATTTCTCTCACTGTTAATCAGGTACTAATTTATTCTTGCAAGAAGAAGCAGAGTTAAATCACAAACAGGAATATGGTTCAACTCACACACATGAGGTATGCTGCTCAAAGGAACAGGAAATCACATCAAGCTTATATAGTCCAAGTGCAGTCCCACACATAGTCGTACATCCGTTTGGTTTCGGCAGGTCTCCGTACATGCAGGTATTCCCATTGACGATGATGTTGCTCTTTGCCCCTCAAAAGGTGGGAGACAAGAGTAGGTGTCTTCCACTCTGTAGATAAACAAAGTGAATCATGCCCTGCCTCCTTCCATCTAAAGAGGAGGCAGCTGCAAGGTCATACACAGCACCAACAGTTTGGTAGATTGTATAGCACCTTTCATGCACAAAGCAGCCCAAAGTGCTTTACAGAAAACAAAACATCAATATTAAAATAATATTAAAATGATAAAACATCTACAGTGATAATATGTTAAAATAAAACAATTTAAAAAATAAATAAAAGCAAAACAGAAAAAAAAAATAACATAGGAATACAAAAGTAAGTTGTATTTTCCCAAACACACACATTCAGAAACTGTGAACACCTTTCTGTTCTGCCTCCTGATCTGTCCCCCCCCTCCCTCTCCCCCCCCCCCCCCCCAGTCTCTGGAGCAGCGGCTGCACAGCGCCAACCAATCTTTGCAAGCTACGCCCAACAGCACCATCCACAGCCTGGTGCACCCGGCCCGCCCCCCGCTGGTGGACCTGTGGAACAGCATGGAGGCCTACCCCACGGAGGGGGGGGGCTTCATGGGGGTGGCGGTGATGGTGGAGCCCAGCCTGTGTGTCCCGTCTGCGGAGGACATGGGGACGGAGCACTCCCCCCTCCTGGAGCAGCAGGAGGAGGAGGAGGAGGAGGAGGAGGAGGTCCAGGTGAGGGGAACACATGCTCAGAATACATATGTATGATTTAGGATCTGCACCAGAGACAAGGATGCTAGAAACTGGGGAGATTATAATGAGATATATTTTCTTTCTCTGTATAAACGGTGTGGATACAGCTGAAAGACACATTGAAAAAAACAGTAGGCAATAGTATATGAATATGTTGGTATAAGATGCTAAAACAGCAGCAGGGGGGGGAGGAGGAGGTCAAGGTGAGGGGAACACATGGTCAGAATACATGATGTATGATTTAAGATCAGCACTGAAGACAAGACTGATGCTCCTAATCTATTCCATATTCTGAGGGGAGACGCTACAGGTGAATAGGGGGAAATATATTTGATATGAACATTACAATTCACCAGTTGTGTCTTTCTTTCATATATTCTTTCGATGTATAAACTGGGGGGAGACAGCTGAAAGAAAAAGGAAAAAAAAACAGTGGGCAATAGTGTGAATACGTTTGTACAAGTTGCTTAAACTGAAAGAAAACGTGTCTTGACAAATTAGAGTCAAATAATTTTACAGAGGGAATTTTTTCCATCACTTTATAAATAAGAACTGACTGTAAAAAGCTTTTTCACCATGTTTTTAATCAATAGAAATTTGATATAAATCTGTCTATGAATGATATATGCAGAAACCCTTAGGTAAAAACCTAAGTAAAGATACTTAACTGTCTGTTAGTTCTGCTGACTTGGGGGTTTCTGGCTCAAGGCATAAGAGAAAGAAAACACGTTTTAATATCTAACTATTATTTTCAATTCAATACCACAGAAATGCAGTAAAAGATGTGTTGCATTGTGGGTATAATAATAATAATGCATTTTATTTATGGGCGCCTTCCAAAGCTCTCAAGGACACCTTACCGAGCATAACTAAAAATAAGCAACAAGGAAGATGAAACAGTAATTCAAGACTTAAAAAACAAAGACTTAAAAACAACAATCAGTTTAGAAGAATTAAGATATTGAATACGCCAGTTTCAAAAGATGGGTTTTCAGGCAGGATTTGAAGGTTGAGAGTAGGGCTGTGCGATTATGGCAAAAATCATAATCACGATTATTTTTGGTCAATAATTGATATCACGATTATTAAATACGATTATTCATTGACTTTTAAAACATCCATTTATTGAACTTTTAAATACAAATAATAATTTGAACAGTATCTCTTTAACTGTTGATTTCCCTGAACGTATAATTCAACTGAAAAACCAATACAAAAATAAATTATACATAAATAATATCAAAATAATAAATACCAATAAACAAGATCAACAAATATTTTGGAGCGCACTTCAACAAGCTACTAAACATATATAAATATGATAAATACAAATAAATTAGATCAAATATGTTGCAGTGCACGGTCACAACCTAGCAAAGCAAAATAATCGTTTTTTTCGATTATGTTGTTTTCGTAATTGTGGCAGGCCAAAATCGTAATTGCGATTAAAATACGATTAATTGCACAGCCCTAGTTGAGAGTGAGTCCATATTGCGGATGTCTTGTGGAAGAGAGTTCCAGAAACGGGGGGGGCAGAGTGGCTGAAGGCTCTTGACCCCATGGTGGTCAGGCGGGCAGAAGGTATACAGTGAGTTGGAAGGCAGAGGAGGATCGGAGAGCACGAGAGGGAGGTGTGAAGGAGCTCAGAGAGATATGGAGGTGCAAGAGTGTGAAGGGCCTTGAAGGTGAGGAGCAAGATTTTAAAGTCGATGTGGTATTTAACGGGGAGCCAATGGAGTTGTTGAAGAACCGGAGTGATATGATCAATGGAAGGAGTTCTGGTAATGATACGGGCGGGTGAGTTTTGGACCAGCTGGAGCTTACGCAGGGATTTGTGAGGAAGACCAGAGAGGATGGAGTTGCAATAATCAATACAGGATGTAATACGGGATGTAATACGGGATGTAACGAGGGCGTGCTTCTACTTTTGTTTCTTGTGAATCCCGCCAATTAATGTAAAAGCATGAAGCGTTTCAGCCGTTGACTCAGACATTTTGCTCGCTGAAGCTTCCTGCTCGCACCAACCACAAACAGTTTGTGATTATGATTCAACAAGCCAACAATAAAGGGCTCTAAATCGGCATCCTGCACAACTAAATGTCAACGGTGATGAATGATATCACTAGGAACTGCTCCCAGTTGATCTCTTTATCAGGCAAGTTGCGAGACAGATGGGAAATCAATCTGTAAAGCTTTGGAAGTCAGTTTGGATCAATGTCATTCATACAAGACGAGTTAAAGGGATACACCTGAGAAGTACTACTGTAGTACTGTATGGGCAAAAGTCACCTCTATGTAAAAGCATACATTCCCAGCATTTCCTTTGTTATAAGGTCTCAATACTTTAATATGTTATTTATGCCACGTTTTTTTCTTTTAAACACTCTTACTGTAACACTGTACATTTTAAAACAGAGGTGGAAGAAGTACTCAGATCTTGTACTTGAGTAAAAGTAGAAGTACTCAGATCTTATACTTGAGTAAAAGTAGAAGTACTCAGATCTTGTACTTGAGTAAAAGTAGAAGTACTCAGATCTTGTATTGGGTAAAAGTAGAAGTACTCAGATCTTGTACTTGAGTAAAAGTAGAAGTACTTAGATCTTGTACTTGAGTAAAAGTAGAAGTACTCAGATCTTGTATTGGGTAAAAGTAGAAGTACTCAGATCTTGTACTTGAGTAAAAGTAGAAGTACTCAGATCTTGTACTTGAGTAAAAGTAGAAGTACTCAGATCTTGTACTTGAGTAAAAGTAGAAGTACTCAGATCTTGTACTTGAGTAAAAGTAGAAGTACCAGAGTGTAGGAATACTCTGTTACAGTGAAAGTCCTGCATTCAAAAATGTTCCTCAAGTAAAAGTAGAAAAGTATTAGCTTCAAAATATAGTGAAAGTAGCGACAGTAAAAGTACTCATCGTGCAGATTGGTCCATTTCAGAATAATATATATGATATGTTTTATAATGATTGATCATTAAAGTGTTCTCAAAGCTGGTAAAGGTGCAGCTAGTTTGAATGGCTTTGTATACTGCAGGGTAGCTTGTGAATTTACTCCAGGTGGAACTAAATTCTAACTAATTCTGATTCTGATTCAGCTGACTGACGCCCAGAGGTGGGAAGTAGTGGAGTACAAATACTTTGTTACTGTACTTAAGTACATGTTTCTGGTATCAGTACTTTACTCCACTACTTATTTTTCTGACGACTTTTTACTTTGACTTCTTACATTTCTAACACAAATACCTGTACTTTCTACTTCTTACATGTTGAACACAAATACCTGTACTTTCTACTTCTTACATTTTGAACACAAATATCTGTACTTTCTACTTCTTACATTTTGAACCCAAATACCTGTACTTTCTACTTCTTACATTTTGAACTCAAATACCTGTACTTTCTACTTCTTACCTTTTGAACACAAATACCTGTACTTTCTACTTCTTACATGTTGAACACAAATACCTGTACTTTCTACTTCTTACCTTTTGAACACAAATACCTGTACTTTCTACTTCTTACATTTTGAACACAAAAACCTGTACTTTCTACTTCTTACATTTTGAACACAAATACCTGTACTTTCTACTTCTTACATGTTGAACACAAATACCTGTACTTTCTACTTCTTACATGTTGAACACAAATACCTGTACTTTCTACTTCTTACATTTTGAACACAAATACCTGTACTTTCTACTTCTTACATGTTGAACACAAATACCTGTACTTTCTACTTCTTACATTTTGAACACAAATACCTGTACTTTCTACTTCTTACCTTTTGAACACAAATACCTGTACTTTCTACTTCTTACATTTTGAACACAAATACCTGTACTTTCTACTTCTTACATTTTGAACACAAATACCTGTACTTTCTACTTCTCACATTTTCCAAACAGGCTGGTTCCTTTAGTTTGAATGTGTGTTTGGTGGCGTGATCATTATTATTTAGAGTCATTGCGTGCCTATTGATTTGAACACGATCCGTGTATCCATCATTTCCTGGTCTTCTCTAAAGAAGAGGGACCAATGAAAACGTTGTCATGTTGCCGTGAAAACATTCATTAGCTAACAATGACATTATTGTTCTATTAATATAAAGGGAGGTCAGGTACTCTTTAAAACAGCTGCTAGTTATGGGTACTTTTTACTTAAGTACATTTCAAAGCCTCTTTACTTTTACTTGAGTAAAGAAGTTTAGTCAGTACTTCTACTTTCACCAGAGTATTTTTAAACACGAGTATCTGTACTTATTGAGTAAAGGATGTGTGTACTTTTGCCCTCTCTGCTGACGCCCCTGTGTTTCCCGCTCAGGAGGATGAGATGAGAGTGTGCATGGAGCCGGAGCTGGCCTCGTTGACTCCCCCCCGGCACCAAGGGGACGCCTCCGGTGGCAGTAGTCCGGGGCAACCACCTGCAGAGCCAATCACAGAGCGGAAGTCCTCGGATGTCTCCTCCAGCCTGGTGCAGACGCTGGAGAAGGAGGAGGAGGAGGCGCTCAGCCCGGGAGCCGCCATGACAGCCAACTGAACAGACCCCTCATTACAAACTGACCCGGAGTCAGCCAGGAATGAGCGTAACAATACAATATATATCTATTAATCTGTTCCTTTCAGGTATCAACATTTTTTAGATGGATTCTTCAGAAAGCGAGAAACCAGATCTGGAGGTGGACTCACAATGAGACAAAGACAGCTGATGCAACAAAGGACACCTGTTTCTTTTTAAGCCTTCCATCCCAAAGGTAAACGAAGACGGGGAAGAGGAGGAGGACTGATTGGACGTTCCCAATTGGATAGTAAAACCACGTTGAGATGAAGAGGAGGGCAAATAAAAACATGCATGCTTTTTATGAGGACAAGCAAAGTCGACCCTGTCATCGTCTTATAACAATAATGAAAATCGATCATAATAGGACATTATAATAAGAATCATTTTGTAATAAAGCAACAAAAAAAGAACAAATCTATGTATAAGTGTATGATAAGATATAACAGTTTTCCCACGGGAGAACTACTCTGTTTACAGCTGTAACTCAAACATATTACTGTTTAATCAAATACATTTTCATCCAACACACGCAGTATACTTTCAAAAAACGGCAAACAGTTCCACGTGTTAGGCTCGTGAAATGCATATTAACCCTGTAGAGTAAGATTCTGTGGCCGAGGCACAACCCAGGGACACGTCCTGCACACACTAACCTGCACAGAAAGGATTGTACTGTAAGAAAGTGTGCTTCCTGCTGTCTCTCTGTATGCATGTTTCTTCAGAGCACTATGGAGTACTTGTACTATACAGCACCGTATAGACGCTGCACTGAACCATAGTATCGCAGGGGGCGTAAAGACAGAGCTGCATGATCTCTTTTGCACTGATGCAATCCAACAGATCAGAGGCTGCCTTTGGACTGCTGACGGCACCCAACCAAAACCGAGCCACTTAACAACACGAAACCCTCAGCTGCTTCTTATTTCGTTCCTTCATAGATGAATCGAGGATGATAACCACTATTTGAATGTACTGGAAGAAGGCAGGTGGCAGTACATGAGTTTCTCTCCTCGCCGTCCACATGGAGAGTCTTAAGAAACAAAGATAAACAACCTGTTTTTTAAAAAAAAAACGTGTGGGAGGGAGCTGCTGACCACTGCTGGCTCCACCACACACGCACACACACGCACACGCACACACACGCGCGCACGCACACACACACACGCACACACACACACACACACAAATATCTAAATTGTAACCAGCAATAGGCAGACAAACACCGGCGTCCCAACAGCCCGGTGTTCACGCTGTCGTATAGATGTAAATAGTCTGAGTATATAATAAAAAATCGCCTCTTACATGCAGTCACAAACTGTTCTAGTACAGTATGATTTCTTTATTTTTTTTTTACACATCTCAGTCCCACTTTTTGGCGGGAACGCTCTCAAGCTTGCGACTGAATTTAGTTTTTCTTACCACTTACACAAAGATTTAATGCAACGGAGGAATGTTTGTGTGGGAAGAAGAGCGATGGCTCCAACTGGAGAGTGTTTCATCGGGTCAATAGGAACAGTAGTAGATAAAGGAGGGGGAAATACAGCCCGTGCTTAATCAGCCAATCAGGGAACAGGAAAGACAGCTAGGCGCGAACAGTAGAGCCGAAACAGATCGGTGTCTTCCTGTGATTTCTGTGAAGAAGCAGCTGCCTGGAGAGTGATAGTGAATCTGATGTTTGAGGAGGCATGTTTTCATTTGTGTTTTTCTTTCACTCGCCTGAGGAAGGAGTGTTTCAGCAAAGAGGAAGAGGAGGAGGAGGAGGAGGAGGAGACTTTCTGTGCATGACGAACTTTACGACACACTGTTCTCACCTTTTTATCTTCTCTGTCGGGGAGCTCCTTCTCCTCTCACTTTGATGATTGTGTGAGACACTTTTAAGACAAACTAACAACAACAAAAAGCAGTTGAATGAATTTATTTATTGATTGCTTCTTTATGCAACGTTGGGGGACAATGTTTATTTTTCTACGGACTTGTTGAAAATCCCCTCCGGTAAAAGTTAGAATAGTTGTCATGGTTGTAAAGCCGTCTTGTTTCAGTCTGGTTTTGAGCACTTTACACGAGAAAAAAACCACTTTGTTTGGAGATTTAGAAATGGCTAGTTTGGCAGCTCTGGATTATATCATTTTATTTCAAGAATCCCTGTTTAGTGAAAACACGAGGGCTCAAAACTGCAAACAGAATGTCTTTACACAGTGGCACATATTCATTTATTTATTGAACAATTACTTGGCGGGGAGGAATAATGTGACGGCTTGTACAGAGTCCTTTGTGAGTCAATCGTGTGTTGGAAAGACCCTTTCCTTTATATGTGTTCATTGTGACGAAGAATTCGGCTTCTTTTTCGCCAAAAGATTTCACGGACACATGCATGGACTTGAAGGACACTGGGTTGTTTTATTTTTCAAAATCTAAATGAATGAATAAACTTATAACAAGAAGCCAAATATATTTCTGTGGATGTTAAAGGTTTACTGATCACGTCTTTGGTTCGCTCTTTTTGTATAACCCTACTGCCATCTTCCAAGAGTTTCCGTCACCTGTCATGACGCTCAAAATCTGCTTCTGGTACGCTGCCTTTCTCCTTCTCTCTCCTATCTCTTTGTATCTGTTCTGTACATTTGTGTCTGTCTGTATGTCTGTCCGTCAGTGTACAGTACGTTGTCTTGTTGGAAGAATCACTGCCTGAAAAGAGAAAAAAAATAAATTAACTAAAGGGGATTTGTTGCAATCAGAGATATATCATTTGCTAACTGCTGTAAAAAAAAAAAAAACATTGGGTAGCTTCTGTAAAAGTCTGTGTAAAATTGGATTTATTTGTCTGAAATGAGGCGGTGTAATACAGTGTACACTCGCACCTATGCATGCTCGTTGGACGGTTGTCACAGGATGGTTCTTCCACGTGGTTCCCCCCCTTTCTCTCCTCTTCTGTCAACATTTCTCGTCCATTTTTCCTGCACGACAGAACCTCCTACACCCCCTCCAGCGCCTTTACCTGTCTCCTCTTCTTTTCCTCTGGTGGAGAAAGAGCAAATAAACAAACCAACAAATGGTGTTTGATGTGCTTATGTGTGGATATCTCTTTCACAGAGTGTGCATAATTAGATTCTCACACGTTCACTTCTTTCTCTCTCGAGCCCTAACACGTGTAATGGATCATTTTGTAGCCCACATTTGGAGGCAGACAGTGTTTCTGTGCTTGTCAGACGAAGCAGGAATAAGCAGTGAAATGCATCCATATAATGCCAGGAGATTTTTAACGACTATTTCTTAGAGACTAGCTGCCTATTTGTTCCAGCTCACAGAAGAACCACAGCCTGAATCTCACACAGTTGACCTTCACAGCACAAATATGTTTACATGCTCCCAGATATTCTCTTTCAAGCGTGAATGCAGTGATTTCTTTTTCACCCACGCAGGTTGCTCGGTCCACCACTGAAATATCTCAGCAAACATTGAATAGATTGCCATTACATTCAGTGAACACATTCGCGCCGCCCTTCAGGATAAATAAGAAGAAGTTTCTCTTTTATTCTTACTTTCCATTCAGCACAACCATAAGGTTAAACATGTAATGTATTTCTTATGATTAAGCAGGCGTTCAGACTGAAAAGCAGTTGAAATACTATCCATGAAGGCTTACTCTTTGACCCTTGATGAAGTGTAAATTGAAGGAACTGAAAGACATAATGAGAACGTATCTTAGTCTCTTCTGCATATCGCTGCTTTTTAATCATCTTCAATTTAAAGGTGGGGTAGGTAATTTTAGAGAAACCAGCTCGAATGCGCTAGAATTTGAAAAAATCTGCCACTTCCTTACAGAGCCCCTCCTCCAACACACACGAACGCGCACATGACCAATGAGGGCACGAGATAAGTGTGTGCACAGATGGAAGGCTGACAGGCAGGTAGGCCATCCAATCATTTTAGCTGGCTAAAATGATTGGTCGTGCTTTTTACAGTATTACGGCTTCCACAGATGAAATGTTTTATGGATGTTTTGTCAAAGCACTTAAGATATTCATTGCTATCGGGATGTTAAGAGCATTCCATGGAATATAACAAAAAGTGTATCTCGAGCCGGTTTCTCAAACTTACCTACCCCACCTTTAACTTTATATAAAATATTACTGTTTACATTCTTTATTTCTATTATATCTGTTTTATTTAATGTTTTTGGTTTTGTTTTACGTATACTTTATGTAAAAAAACATGCCTTTGTGTTGTGAGCGAAGTGCATCTGTTAGCGAACTAGGTAAATAAATACAAAATGTATATAGAAAAATATATATATTTATGTTTATCAGTTACCAGAGTCTTATCTTCTATCTCAGTGACCTTAACAATGGAAATCCTAATACATGGATGTGTTAATTGCAGCATCTAAAATTCCCTGTGTGTTTGGTGCTGTGTGTGATGATTGAATATGGATTTAATTTAAATTCTCAATTTCCATTTCGATCTTTCATTTCAGTGATTTCAAGCTAAATAGTAGAAATACAGCGTCCGTGTTATCAAGTTATTCATAAGGTATTGCAAGTATTTGATTAGCCAGTACATTGTATTACAGTCAATATTGAATGGTTTTGCCAAGATAACCTGTGTGTTTCTACTTTGCCACCATCACTGCTTCATAAATTATTAATGGGGATGCATTTTTCTGTCGTACAACAAGACCTAACGCGGGTTAGCCAGCTAGCAACACTGAGTAGCACTGCTGAGCATGTTAGCCTAGCTTGTTAGCCTCAGCTAGCTCTCAAGCTTCGAGCTGGGCGGCGTGTTTCAAGGCCTCTTTCCCTTTTTTGAATTAGGCGTTAGAGTTAGATACCAAGATGGCGCCGACTAGCTCTGCCTACTTTGGGCTCCACATGAAATCTGTAGAATGATATGGGTGACGTCACGTACACTACGTCCATTTATCTATACAGTCTATGGTGTGAACAAAGCTACTTGCAAAACTCACATTCCTATCAGCCTCAGCTGTCATTGTGCCTGCTAGCAGGGGCGCTGTAAGGGGGTGAAAAGTTAGGACGATTCTAAGGGCCCGTGACTGACAGGGGCCCAAACAATTTTAGAACATTAAGAAAAAAATATTTAAAGGTGGGGTAGGTAAGTTTGAGAAACCGGCTCAAGATCGCTAGAATTTGAAAATACACAACCGGAGAAAATCTGCCACTTCCTTACAGAGCCCCTCCTCCAACACACACGAACGCGCACATGACCAATGAGGGCACGAGATAAGTTTGTGCACAGATGGAAGGCTGACAGGCAGGTAGGCCATCCAGTTATTTTAGCCGGGCCGGCTCAGATGATTGGTCGTGCTTTTTACAGAACTACGGCTTCCACATATGACATTTTTTTATGGATTTTTTGTCAAAGCACTTCAGATATTCATTGCTATCGGATGTTAAGAGCATTCCATGGAATATAACAAAAAGTGTATTTCGAGCCGGTTTCTCAAACTTACCTACCCCACCTTTAAGTAACTAATGTGACATCTTTTCATGGGGCCCAAAATCCCTGGCGGCGCCCCTGCCTGCTAGCAAATGTTAGCATGCTAACACGGTCAACTTCAATTACGAACATCTTACCTGTATGTTATGCTAACATGACATTAGCGTTTAGCTCATATCCACATCACTTTGTTAGTATAAGCTACTTAAAATAAGCTAGTAGACATTTTATTATTTATTTATTAAATTACAGACTGGTAATACTGATTTGAATATTTACCATACAGCAAATATCTGATACATGTAAGTTATAATTTAAATTAACCTCAATCAGTAAACTTTAAAATGCATTATCTCATTGACCTCCAGGTCAAATTAATTAATTAAGTCTTCATCAATATATTATTTCATGATCATACAATACATTGCTGTCAGTTCATTTTTGATCCAATAAACAGACATGTTGATAAATGCTGTACGGATACATTCAACATGTTAAAGATATGTTTAGATATTGAGCATTCGTCCGTCTGCAGTTCAAAAGACGCAGGAAGGCCCCTGAGATCCTGAGAGTGAAAAAGTGAGACTGTGTGAAGAGTAGAAAAAAAAATCCTATAGCTTTCAGGAGCTTTGTGTTCACTTGTCGTCCTGCAGAGAGTCTGCGGAGAGCACGACTCCCCATCCTCTGGGTGAGGAAGAGGAGGGAAATGAGAGGAAGGTAAAAAAGTCTGTTCTCCTGAAGCCAGCTTATATGGGTTCGTCCGAGTCCTCGCTCTCCCTGTGCTCCTGCAGCGAGGAGAGAGTGAACACTGGGCAGGTGGGGGAGACGGGGGAGGAAGGAGGTGAAGGTGATGAAGGTGAGGAAGGAGAAGAGGTGGAGGGTTCCTGTGAAACACCTTCATCTCCTCTAGTGCTCCCAGGGGAGGAGGAAGGGGCACCGTCCCCTCCGGGAACTCCCCTGAAGGACGGCGCTTTTCCTCTGAAATCCTCCTTGGACTCCCTCCTCACCAGCTCCCCCTCCTCCCTCCGGCTGCCCTCCCCCCCCCACAGGTCTCTGTCCCGGGTGGGGGAGGAAGGGGTGGACGGGGGGAGTTGGTGCTTCTTGGATTTCCTGCTGGCGTCCCTGAAGCTGGCCAGAGGGGGGCGGAGCCTCACCCCGCTGCGAGTGGAGCCCTCGATCGCCTTCTGTAGCTGTTGGAGAGAGAGAAAATGTATCAACGTTATACAATCAGATTCTTTTTATTTTAAATATGACCCCCCCTTTATTATAACCTTTATTTATATGAATTGTAATATATGTAATATATAATATTTCCAAATTGGTAGATTTTTTTGCCAATTTATTACATTTTTAAGTTATTTTTTCTTTACATTATTATTACTTATATGCATTTTAATTTATTTCAAATCTATGAATTTATCCAATTATTATATTCTTTATTATATGAATAGTACTCAAATGATTAATTAACACATTTTTTCTTGAGGTGATTATTTCTTATAAGAATTCTTATTTATTTTAAATTAAATTGTTTAATAATTTTTGTATTCATCCAATTTTTTATTTACACAATTAACAACTATATATATATTTTCAATAAATGTTACTGGTTTTTCTATGTATTTATTTATTCATTTATTTAAATTAGTTTAATTCTATCATTTATTAGTTTAAAAAATGTTTTGGTCTGTTTCGTTATTTTTAAAATTAATTAATTATTATGAAATCATTTTTAAAAACTGCTTTAGGATGTAGAGCAACACATGTTTTGGTTTATTTACACTGTATGTACTGTAAAGGGTTGAGATTTGTGTTTTTACAAAGCACATATACTATATGTTCAATACAAGTCAATTAACCCTTGTGTTGTGTTCGAAAGCTGTTACCGTTCATGGTGTTCGCGGGTCAATTTTGACCCATGATTTATCTCAGTCCAAAACACAAAAGAAAAATGACTATCATCCAATATTGTTTTAACTACATCATAACTAACTTATAATGCATTCATAACCGTACAATCCTGTTGTAATTTAATGTTATGGCCCGAAACACATTACACCACATATTGAACACGTGCATGTGCGAGTTCAGGTTCAAGTGTTAGTGTACATATTCTTTGAGAAAGGTGGAGTTCCCGTGGGGGGAGGGGGCCAGAGGGAGGGGAGACCAGGTGCATGTTGCGAACAATTATTGTTACAGTGTATGAAGGGGGTGGGGGAGGGGTGTCTAAAGTCAAAGATGAATCTTGATTGGGCCAAATTTGACCCCGAGTCACCCAAAACAATTCTGCTGGGTCTCCCCAGACCCGAACACCAAATTATACACTTTTTTTTTAGAGACCTTCAGACAGTCAAAATCAGTTGTGTAGTGTTTATATAGCTGTTGTGGAGGATATCATGAAGCCTTGTTCCGATAAAAAAAACTAGAGCGTAGTTATTATATAATTTTTAACTTGAAACGGGTCACGGGAGACCCGAACACAACATAAGGGTTAATAAAATGTGTTGAAGTGACGACGTATGAACGCGTACATCCAACGCAGAGAATCGAGTTGATGTAATAACTGCATGAATCAGAGTGTGAAGCATTAAAGAAACAACTGCCCCAACATGAGATCACCACAGCTCACCGTCACACCGCATCAAAGCAACAGAGGAGACAAACAAATATGCAGATAAAGTACAAATAAAGGTAACACTTTATATTAAGGTACACATATTCACCATCAACTAGTTGTTAATTAACGTGCATGTTAGCAGTTTATTGGCTCTTTATTAGTCATTATAAAACACTTAGTAATGCCTTATTCTACATGACCATATTCTACAAGTAATAGGCCATTAGTTAAGAGTTTTTCCTTAATAACCCTCTATTAAGTGCTTATTTATTGTAAGTAAGGACGTTGTTGTACATGAGTTTTGGTCTTAATATGCTCTGCTCAATATGGGCCTAATAAGGCAGCAGTACCACAAGAATAGTAATTCTCCCATAATCACACCTAACAGATATGGTCTATTCTTATGTAACAAGACATGAAACTACAGGTGTTAGTTGTGTCAAAATAACTTAAAATTAGGTATTTCTAACTCAGAATATGTTCACTAATAAACTAGAAGTTTGGCTCTAATAATCCCGAAGGAAATTGTTGTGCCAGAGTTACAAAAATACAATAAACACAGCAGCATAATAGTAAAACTACACTAACAGTGCAGTAAAAAGAGCAATTAAATATCTACAGGAAACATAGACGGTCACATCATTAATGTAAAGATTAACAGTATTTAGTAGTGCAACAAAACGTAGTGGCAGATACGTAATTGCACGTTATTATAGAACATTATTAATATGCATGTTAATTAACAAATGAAGCTCAGCGCAAGTTCAACCAGGAAGACCGTCTTTTCTCATTCATTTACTATTTCTATGTAATAGTACTACTCTCTCTCCTCTCAATAAGTGATCGGGGGCGTCACTCCCCAGCTTAACCAATCACCTCGCTCTATTCTCACAAGCCTATCATAGCGCTCCGCTAACCCTTTTAAATCTGCTCTCCCCTCTGACAGCTGTCATTTCAGGTGACTCGACGCAACCCTCCTCCACCCCTTTTTCACCTCCTGTCCCTCTGAATCCAGGGTCAAGCTAAGCCACTCCCCTTCAGACCGAACACAACTATCCATTCACCACCACCAGGGTCAAGCTAAGCCACTCCCCTTCAGACCGAACCCAACTATCCATTCACCACCACCAGGGTCAAGCTAAGCCACTCCCCTTCAGACCGACCCCAACTATCCATTCACCACCACCAGGGTTAAGCTAAGCCACTCCCCTTCAGACCGAACCCAACTATCTATTCACCACCACCAGGGTCTAGCTAAGCCACTCCCCTTCAGACCGAACCCAACTATCTATTCACCACCACCAGGGTCAAGCTAAGCCACTCCCCTTCAGACCGAACCCAACTATCCATTCACAACCACCAGTGTCTAGACCCCGGGGGGTTTCATCGGATCAGTTCTCCTCTCCGGAATGATACTCCTACACAATGGGGCCTAATCGCCAAGACTCCATTCCATTCATTTGTGTATTCCTGGCAATACATATGTATTCTTACATCAAAACCGTCTCCGTGAGTGTACTGTGATATTACAATATAAATGAAATGGCATCGATTATTGTACACTATAATGAAATAAAAAGACTTGTAAAAAAAAAAAAAAAACGTCTCTCCTGATTGTTGATGGTGAATATGTGTACCTTAATCTAAAGTGTTACCCAAATAAAATGTGAGTTTACCTCTTTGAGTGCCACGACGCCCACCAGCTTCCCAATACTGGTGACGTAGGCGTGACTGAGCCCCAGCAGAGAGAACAGGGTGTGGGTCTGAGGGAGAGAGAGGACAGTCAGGGGTTAATCTCAATCTTTATTTATTTAATGTGTTGTAGTGTGACAGCGTTCTGTCTGCATGGCTGCACGGCACCTCGTAAACAATGTGTCCCGAAGAGAGGACATATAGGGAGAAATACAGCACCAGTAAACAGCATTACAATTCAGGATTTTAAAGATTGAGGAAGTTGGGGAACTCAAAATAAAATGTAGAAGAGAGACCTCCAAACTTTGTATGTGTCAATAGGGTGAAGCTCCATAATAACTGGATCCTACAATTCCCATGCTGCAATTTTTTCTAAGAAGACCGTCCCTCCCTATGTTTCATTAAACCCAGTCTGTGACACTAGTTCACTTTAAAACATGTCTAGTTTCTAAGCATAAGCTGATACAAACCCTGACATTTAAAAATGTTTACAACAACTTTACAACAGTTTTTATAGGATAAACCTGACACATAACATTGGTGAAGGGCCCCTTTAAACTGTTGATAAAAGAGAGTTAGAACAGAAGAGTACAAGCAGAACCAAACAGTAATTAGGAATGTCCTAATAATTAATAATTAAATTAAAGTGAGAATTAAATAAATGAAACGTTTTAAAATATACTTTGACGTTCTGGAGATCATTTTAAAACACCATCTTGCCGATATTTCAATTAGAAGATTGAGACCACTCTAATGTTTTAATATTTAAAGGGCCCATGTCATGCTTTTCCGGTTATTACCCGTCCCCTTGTGTGTTATGAAGGTTTTTATGCATGTAAACGGTCTGCAGAGTCAAAAACCCTCAAAGTACACCCTGTAGCGAGTAAAACTCTAACACAGAAAAGACCTGTCTATGCTGCCCCAGAACGCCTCGTTGGAGATTTCCCTTTTTCCATTGTTTGCTTCCTGGGTTCTCTGATGTGTGAATACCCAAATCAACAACAATTGACCGGATTGGCCCAAATGGACCAATCTGCGGAGCACCTCACACACCAGGATCCCTTGGCTAACTAACAGGGAGTCCCCATTGACTTGCATAGAGCTCCCTGAACGCTGGTAATAGACGAGTTGGGATGGCGGAGAAATGTTCTCCGCAGACCCATTCTCACAGCGTTATAAACGTTTTTCTTACTCAACATCAAGCCACACTTATTGTTGTTACTTCGGCTGTGAGTGTTTGTGTGTGCTCAGGATGAGTTTCGCTTTTAACCCGGAAAACTGTCCGCTCCACGCAGCAGCGAGCCTCGCAACGTCACGACCAATCAGAGCACACTGGGCTCACAGGGAGGGGGGGGGGGGCAGGAGCTCCAACAAGCCGTTTAGGACAGAGAGTGAATACCTGGTGAATACACATACTATACAGAGATGCTGTATGAGAAACCAATGTGAGTTTGGAAAATTGCACAATTTAAATCTATTCTAGTAGACCTCAACAATGGAATTATGA